TGACTGAAGATTTTGCAGTATCTTTCCCCTGCCACTCCCACCAAGCCATGCCCACAGAACCAGTGGTTAAAAAAAAAAAATTGAATTCCACCACTAATTTCAAAACACTGGCGTTTTCAGAAACTTGATTTTAAGTTTATTATGCACTTGGATATTCTTCTAAAATGGCAAGATGGGATAAAATATTTTGCAAAAAATAAATGGAGATGTTAGATGCGAAGATAATAAAGAGCATTTTTAACTGCCTATCTATTGTTGACATGTCATGCTGGCTGGTCTTTTGACTGGGAACAGATAATTCCTGCAGGTGGATACATGAATCAGCCTTCAGACTGGAAATATTCAAAGCTTGACCTTTTCCAAAGACGGCTGGCTCAAGGCCACTGGACTCTTAACTGATGGAAGCTAATCCAAGCCAGTTCTATGGAAAAACTGCTTGAAACTTAACTTGAAATGAAACTGATTTTAAAAACTGATTGTAATTTTACACGACTAGTTTGTAATACAGGTGAAACTCAAAACATTAGAATATCGTGCAAAAGTTCATTTATTTCAGTAACGCAACTTAAAAGGTGAAACTAATATATAAGATAGACTCATTACATGCAAAGCAAGATAGTTCATCTCAATTATGACACATCACGGCTTGAACTATCTTGCTTTGCATGTAATGAGTCTATCTTATATATTAGTTTCACCTTTTAAGTTGCATTACTGAAATAAATGAACTTTTGCACAATATTCTAATTTTTCAAGTTTCACCTGTAACAGGGTTCCTTGCAGAATCTTGAAACAGTAATCTTCAGAATTAAGATATAAAAAGCAATGAAAAATGCTTGTCTGAACTAGACAGCCCATAATGGTCATTTTGCTCAGCAAATCTTGCTCCCTAGTGGTAGAAAAGTACACAGTGCATTTTTGGCTTGTTAGCTCAGGCATTTGAACAAGCAATAGGAAAAAAGTAAGATGCTCAACTGAATAATTAAGGTAAAACCTGGCTATTTCAGTGAGGCTGAAAAAAAGCAATCCTTCCTAAAAATGCTGCAAGCTAATCCAAGATAACAGTGAAATTGTAACAATAATATATGACAAAAACTCAGATGATTTCCACATAAATGGTAAAAGTCCAGTTATTTTAGTCTCCTGAAACAAGAGAAAATGGGCCCAGTAGAAAGTAAGGCAAACTCATATTGCACTAATTGATCAGACACAAGTGTGTCTCAATTTTTTGGCCCGTATGCTCAGGTCTGTTTTTGGCACTGAAACTAACTTTATTACTATAATGGATTGACATACACTCTACAGTCACCAAGCAGAATTATCATTTCCATAGGAAAAATTTCCTATTCTGTTACATTTAATAATGATTTAAGTTATTACCTTTATTGTCAGAGTATAGATATGTACAATGAGATTGGCTAATAATGTTTCCCCCAAAAGTACTTCTCATTGTCAGCAACTCAAAGTTGCCTTCCATACTTCTGAGATTGATAAAATGAAGACCCAGACTATTAGGGGCAATAGACTGATTCAAGTAAACTGCTTACAGTGGGCTGTAAAGCACTATGAAGCAATAGATAAGTCTATTGCTGTTGCTATTCCTCCCTCCCTCCCTTGTATTTCTATTCAAATACAAATCTGTCTGACGATAATATTGTCTCAGAAAAAGACTCTATCCTGAGACTTCTGTCTTATTTCCTTGGAAGATTTACACTTTCAGCTGAACTGTTTAAGAAGATTCTCAGTAATCCAGGTAGAGTAGTTTAGAAGTTGAGTCATAGCAACTGTACTTGTTTGTTTGTTTGTTTCCTTGAAATGTTTCTATGCTTATCCAAGTAGCTTCTTCAGGTTAAACAGTGAAATATTTCAACCCAAAACGAAAAGAAATCTAGTTGCCATGACTCAACTTCTTTTCACTGTAGTTTATGATTGATAACCCTAAATACCAGTTTACAATAAGCTCATCTTTTTCCACACATAGAGGCTGGAAGGAACAGTTCAGATAGAGAAACCAAAATGTGTCATTTCGTGTTTTTAAGAAAGCTATCAATTGACCCCTAGTACTGCTAAACCATCCCTATCTATTGGACCGGATGGAATATGTGCCTATCTCTTAAAAAAGTTATCCACTGCCATAGCCGAACCTCTAAGCATAATCTTTGAAAAATCTTTCAGGACCAGTTCCTTGCCTAACCTATGGTCACAAGCCACAGTCATCCCCATCTTCAAAAAGGGAGACCCCTGCTTAGTTGAAAATTACAGACCAATCTCCTTATGCTGCGTCACCTGTAAAGTCATGGAATCAATTATTAACCAATCCATCATCCTCCACTTAGAGACAAACAACCTACTCTCCAATAAACAATTTGGTTTCAGAAAAAAGCTATCCTGTAATCTGCAACTCTTACACTGCAAAAACATATGGACTACACAACTTGATCAGGGCAAAACAATAGATGCAATCTACATAGACTTCTGTAAAGCCTTTGATTCAGTGGTACATGACAAACTACTACTAAAAATAAAATCCTATGGTATCTCTGGACAACTGCATAACTGGATAGAAGCATTCCTGTCAAACAGACAACAAATGGTCAAAATTGGGAGTGTCCTATCAAATTCTGTACCTGTCAATAGTGGTGTCCCCCAAGGCAGTGTTCTAGGACCAACTCTCTTCATACTCTACATAAATGACCTCTGTGATCATATTAAGAGCAACTGCGTTCTTTTCGCTGATGATGTAAAGCTGTTCAATACCACAGACAATACTGCTACCCTTCAAGAAGATCTTGACTGTGTATCAGAATGGTCAAACAAATGGCAACTTCAAATCTCAACAAATAAATGCTCTGTCTTACATATTGGCAAAAAAAATCAGAAAATAAAATACAAGCTGAATAGTCAAGATCTTGTTGATGATCCAAGCTCTGTAAAGGACCTTGGAATACTCACCTCTAATGATCTAAGTGCTAGTGCCCACTGCAACTACATAGCCAAAAAGGCATTAAGAGTTGTTAACCTAATCTTACGTAGCTTTTTCTCTGGTAATATCACACTACTAACTAGAGCATACAAAACATTTGCTAGACCAATACTCGAATACAGCTCATCAGTCTGGAACCCACATTACGTATCTGATATTAGCACAATTGAGAAAGTCCAGAAATATTTCACAAGAAGAGTTCTCCACTCCTCTACTCGTTGTAGAATACCTTATGCCACCAGACTTGAAATTCTAGAACTAGAAAACCTTGAATTACGCCGTCTTCGGTCTGATTTAAGCATGGTATATAAAATCATACATTGCAATGTCCTACCTGTCAGTGAATACTTCAGCTTCAACCATAACAACACAAGAACACACAACAGATACAAACTCAAGGTTAACCGCACCGAGCTTGACTGCAGGAAATACGACTTTAGCAACAGAGTGGTCAATGTCTGGAATACTCTACCCGACTCTGTAGTTTCTTCCCCAAACCCCAAAAACTTTAACCTTAGACTGTCTACTATTGACCTCACCCCTTTCCTAAGAGGTCTGTAGGGGGCGTGCATAAGCGCACCAACGTGCCTACCGTCCCTGTCCTATTGTTTCTTTTATTTTTCTTTTATTTTTCTTATATGTACTCATTTCATGTATTCATAATTATGTATACACTTTTACTTATCTCGTAAACAATTGACAAATAAATAAAAATAAAATAAAATAAAATAAAAATAAAAGGAGACAGAAACAAACTTGTAATCTCTGTTGAAAGTTAGGGGCAGAGAAGTTCTCCTTTGAGAAGAAGGCGTTCAACAAATCTCTGACAGGCAAAGGTTTAATCTCTTGGCATCTTTTTGTTGATCCTGAGAGCAGCACAAACCCAGAGTTTTTAAATGCACTAATCCAATGGGACTAAGCTGGCCCTGTGAGAGTAAGCCTATCTCAAACAGCAATTCTAAACATTTTTAGTGAGTGCAGTATTTACTTATATCACCAGCTTTCCAGCACACTTTATGCATATGATAGAGAAGTGAATGGAAGCTTAAATCATAATAGTGATTAAGGTTATTTAAAGTCCCATTGTATTTTATGTTATTTTGACTAGGGCAAACTATAAAAGCATATGTGTTTGACTCAGAGTATTGTTATGGTTAGTGTTATCTTTTAAACCCTGCACTAGCATCCAAAGGCATTTTAGAATACAGGTGTGGATTGATATCTTTTGAAAAGAACATTTGGTTCTGTCCTCTATGTAACTGGATTTCTTTCTTGAGTTATTGTATTTACATCTTTTCCTCTGTTTTTCTAACCCTAACCCTATGTGAATATCTTTGCATATTATTCAGATAATAACCCTGTGAAGTTTGGCTCTTCTGAGAAATAATTATCACAGAATCTGGAGGCTGAGCCTCTTTCAGAAAGCCAGTCCAAATAGTCAGAGGACCTCTGGATCAGTCAGAGAAGGAAGGAACCCATTTGTTTTCCGCTCACATAGATCTCACCCTTTCTAGAGGATGCTGGGGAGTAGGAAATGGGCAGCCACACAACAGAAAGAGGACTGTCGTGTGCCAGGTGTTTTTAACTTATTTTTTCTAAAATCTTGCTCATTGGTTATTCAGAGATCCAAGTGCTGAAGTAGGAATGGGGGCAGTCATTTGCTAGTTCTCCCTAAAGCTGCCTAGGTGGCCTTGGCACAAACACTTCCTCCCAGCCCAATCAGGACAGGGCTCTAAGGCAAGACAGCTGACAAACGAAAACCTTCATTACATCATGCACTGATTGTGTTGGTGTGAGAACTAGGCAGGGGCAGTTCAAAACAAGTGAACTCTGTAAAAAATTCAGGAAGAACAGACATGAAGAAAAATAATCACTGTATGATTATGTTATTTGCATGGTGCACCTCTATTAAATGCCCACCAAGAGAAGCCTTGGACCAACTCCTCTGCGAAGGTCCATGCAGAAAGGAAATCCTGATAAATGATGCAGAATTAGGAAAGGAAAGAGGAAACTCTACCTGTTCGGTCTGAAGATCACTTCTTTCTTCCAAATACTTTCTGAATGGGTTTGGCTGGACAGGCTCTTCTTCTTCTTTTATTATTATTTTTGCTTTTACAGTAGTTGGTCGGATTACCCCAGGCTTTGTCTAGTAGTGAAGAGAGAACACGATACAGAAATATTATATAAGTCAGAATATATATATATATATATATATATATATATATATATATATATATATATATATCTCCTCATATTTGTTTAATGTGTGTGTGTGTGTATGTATATGTATATGTATATGTATATGTATATGTATATGTATATATCCTTCCTCACAGATGAACACAATACAGAAGCCTGATGATGGCAGATGAGATTCTGCCGAAATGTTGCTACAACTTTAAAAGCACAACTATAATGATGTGGGAAAATACCCGAACAAAGCTGAATACCAGATATATATATATATATGTACCAACTTTAATAGAGACAATATATAATACAGAGAGTTTGGTCTACTAGGCAAGAAGTTCGAATCCAGATTTTTGAGATCATGTGCCAAAAAGTGAAAATACTAGCCAGAACTGCTTCCACCTTTCACATTCTTCATCAGTGGTTCAGGTCATGGAAATCCTCAAACTGGCATGTTCAAGGTTCCTATATGGTAAACCTTCTATGCTGGTACTAAAAATGAAGCACCTTAGCCCTGAGAAGCTTCAGTGTAGCATAATGGTTCACTGATTGGGCTTTAACTAGGGAGAGCCAGGTTCAAGTCCACCCTCAACCATGAAAACCTACTGCATGACTTACTTTTAGCTCATTGCTATCCCTCAGCCAGACCTACCTCACAGGGTTGTTGGAGGTATGCCTCCTTCAGCTCCTGGAGGAAAGGCGGGATATACATCTAATGAATAAATAAAGTAAAATGAAATATGTAATAGCTATAATGGTGCTTCCATGCATCATGCAGGTGGCTACCACTGATGGCCTGGGCATTCAAAAGAGGCTAAGTCAGACTCAGAACTATTAATTTATGGGAAAGATAATGAATAGAATCCTTAAAATATGAGAGCTTGTCTCTATTTCTCTAATTAGAATTTTACAATACAAATAAAAGCAAGAAAAACAAAAAGTAAAGGTAGGAAACAAAAGTGGTAAAAAAGAAAACATTGACTTTCTCCTTCTTTCTATCAAATATTTGCCATCTTGCTCTTTCCCTCTCCCTCTTTAACTCTCTAATCCCCAAATTTTTTTAAAAAAATAAGTTCTGTATTTTCTTCTTTTAGCAAAACATTCATTTAAGTCTTCCGGTCATTTAAAGGGTTTGTCTTCTGTAAATGTTTATATCAACAGAAGCGCCTGAAACCTCAGTGTTTCTCTCTACCTCTAAGACGGCCCTTATTTGTACCCCCAAATGTCATCCAGCAGTGCAACAGTGGAGAATACAATTGGATAAGAAGTGGAGGACAATGGGTTTTGTCAGTGGTAGGATTCAAAAATTTTTACTACCGGTTCTGTGGGCTTGGCTTAGTGGGCGTGGCATGGCTTGGTGGGCGTGGCAGGGGAAGGATATTGCAAAAACTCCATTTCCTCCCCACTCCTAGGGGAAGGTTACCACCGGTTCTCTGAACTACTGAAAATTTCCATTATAGGTTCTCCAGAACTGGTCAGAACCTGCTGAATACCACCTCTGGGTTTTGTTTCCACAAACCATACTTTAGTTTTTAAGGAGACTAAACTCTACCATGAGCATGAGGCCTTATCACTCCTGTGGGAGTTTTGTTTTGCTTGTAAGATACTCAGGTTAGGGCTACTGCTAGAGTGTTTGTTACTAAAGCTATCATAACTAATTATGGGTGATCAAGAATGATAAAAAGCGAATGAAGGCAAGTATATGTGTCCCAGGATAATGTAGCAGGATCCAATCTGAGTTGGTCACTGGGACCAGAGGTTTATTCTTCCAAGCTTTTGGGCGCCCGCTGGAGCCCATCATCAGATATTCTGGAGAGAGAGAAGTTGTCTGATGATGGGATCCAGCATGATCCTGAAGCTTGCAAGAATCAGTCTTTGGTGCCGGTGACTGATTCAGATTGGATCCTGCGGTGATAAAAAATATCTAATGTGCCATAGGTTGCCCACTCCAAGATAGCAGCTGGGGATGCCCCAAGTTCATTGCATTGCCATACTTAGGACAGGTCTGCTAAAGATTGTTAGTGAAAAAGTATCACAAGTCATCTCTTTTTTCCTTTTTTTCTCCATCCAAAGTAATTAACCTTAGAGATCTTCTGTCTGGTCCAACCCGCCCCCCCATACCATTTCAGATAAATGGTTGTCTAATCTCTTCTTAATTACAGATGGCCCTACACAAACAACCAGGTATATTGTTTCCAGCAGAGCCAATTTATTTGCTTTTGACTTGGCTCATTCTTTCTTAAGAGAGTTATGATATTAAGAGAAATATTTCCACAGGACTTTTTCAAATTAATGATAATTCATTGTGCCTGTTTTGATGCTACATCTTTATTGTTGGGTCTGCCACAGTTTTGCATTTATGTGGAATTTTTATTCAAATCACATGGAGTCTGAGAATGTGATTCACTCAGTCACTCAACCTAATTAATATTCTGAAGAGGATAGTAGTGATCTAGAAATGTACCTTATGTGTCTCAGTCACAGCAGGAGCCGTTAAGTAGAGGTTGGCCTGGAACAAAATATTTATAATATTAGCTCAGTGAAAAGGATCTTCCAATTAGATCAGGGAGAATTACTTATATTAAGAAGAGAGGATTCAACAGTACACGCTTCTGTGTCCATTTTTGTGTTTTTTTTTAATTATTTTGTTTTGACTTGGTTTTGAGTATTTCTTTTACCTTGAGAAAAAGCTACAAATGGGTGAGTTTCAAGCAGAAAATGAACTGAGGTGCCAGCTGTTCTTTCTTTCCTTTTTTAATATAAACAAACAAAAATCACCATCATATTGTAGAACCACTTGAGATGTAAGTAAAGGTGCTAAGAAGAAGTATGCTCACTAGCAATCTAAAGTATTCATAGTATTTACCTAGCATTTAGATTATAGACCCACTAGCGATGAAATCTATTTAATAGAAGCCTCCACATTTGTAGCAAATAACCTACAACTGCATATGTCTTGTACAATGATAGCGATATTTCAGCCGAGTGACAGAATAATCACTTCCATGCTGGTAACTGATCACAGAGGACTGGCATAACGTAGGCAGACCAAAGTTTGTTATTTCTCTTTTTCTGCTTTTATTGACTAAGCTATATAGAACAAAATAAATCAGCTTTTATTGTTTCTCCTTGGAACTGTCCCTCAGAAAAGTCAAGAAACCATATTATAAATAGGATGACTATGAGATTCATTTTACAAGAGAAGTCCCTCTGTTTTGAGAGTACTTGAACGTGCAGACCACATTTGATGTAAAGATATGAATAAGAAATCTTGTTATAAAATTAACAGTGCTTGTATGCTGGATTTTCTGATGTTACCTAAACATGGAACATTAACCTACCTTGAAATAGTCTTCACTTAACAATGGTAATTGGGATTGGCAACTCCATTTCTAAGTGACCTGGTCATAAAATGTGACATCACATGACCATGCCAACTCACAATGATAGTTGTGGCAGTTCCAGTTGTCATCATTCAGTGAATCCTGCATGGTTTTTAAGCACAATGTTTCATGGTCATCATTTGTGACTTCCTACCGTCTTCCCCATTGACTTTACTTGTCAGAAGCCAGCAGCAAAGTTTGCAAATGGCAATCATGTAACTGTGAGACACTGTGACCATTGTAATTGGACACCATGATTGCCCAAATTGCAATTATGGAACCACAGAGATGGTCGCAGTTATGAGGACCAGTCATAAACCTCCTTGCTAAGTGCTGTTATAATTTTGAATGATCACAAAAGAATGGTCATTCAATAGGAAAATCTACCGTATATATGATTGTCTGTTTTAACTCATCTTACCATAAGCACTTGAGTGCTTACGTAGATGACCAAGGAATCAATAGTCCTGTATTTTGCTACAATAAAACTATCTTGCTAGACTATCAATTAATTACGGTACATTTCTTGGAAATAAACATAGGGACACAGGTGAATATAAATCACATTGTGTAAAAGTATGAAATAAAGATGGATTTGAGTAGGTTTATAATCATTATGTCATCCTGGAAAAAGTTGGTAAGAGTCGATAATGACTTGATGACATATAATCAATACTATAGTCATTATGAGATTTTACATTCTTTTCTCTTCCACATTAACTCCTGAGGACTACAGGAAGTGGCAGAAATGGCTTCTAGAATTTCTCTTAGTTCCTATCCATCAATCATTTACTAAATAAACTTTCACTACAAAGCTTTACAATATAAATTAAGATTACTGTTTCTGTGATGCAAAACTTCAGACAACCACTCTGGGATAGCAAATTTATGTTTTTGCTGGTGTCTGGTTTTTTGCAGCTCTGGTTCTAGATTTTTGTGGTAGCCCTAATGAGACTCTTTACTAATGTCTAATACAAAGTACATCAAAGAGAAATTAAAACCATTTATTTATTTATATTGGTTTTTTTCACCTTGTTTTTTAGCAGTTTGTTACTGATATAAGGGAAAATGCAGTTACTATCTTTTTGCTTATCTTTATTAGAATTAAGTTGGAGGGGGGGGATCCAACTTTGTTTGAACATGTCTCCTCCACAGAAATTTATGATGACAGCTGCTGAGATAGAGATGAATAAAATCCAGTACATTCCAAAATGTGCACATTCTTCATTTCTCAGAGATGGATTTCTGTCATTCAATCTGATAGAAGCAAAAATTATTGCAATTGCAACTCACAGTGTCAATTTGAATGCAGCATTCTGGCTTCTAACAAAATCACGAAATCAGATTTAATTCAGAATGAAAAAAGAAAGAGAAAGAAATGCTATTCTCAGCTCTGCAAGATCTCAGTCTAAATCACAGTGTTTGGAGACTCACTTTAATTGTTCCATTATTGAAGGCAGAGTTCTCTACAATTGTTCAGAAATCATCTTAAAGGTGGAGTCCTGCTATTAAAAACAGATATGAAGACCATACTATGAAGATACTTACATATTTGGTTTCCCGACCAGCTGGCCTCTGTGGAGCAGTAGACATCTGCAGGGAATCCAACAACGTTGTGTTAGAACAGTTTGGCATTGTGCAGAAACTTTTTTTTTTGTTGCTAAATTGTTACATTTGGGCACTGCTGGACTTCATTTTCCTTTCTCACCCAACAGCAAAGACAGTAAGGAAGTTGTGCATTGAATTAGAGACAGGTGCAAGAGCAAACTGTATTTGAACAAACCTATCCCTTAACTCACCTTTTAACGCATCTCTTATCCTCATCTTGCCGTTATGCTGTTTTTAAATTTTTATGAGTTTTATTAAATATATAAAGGATGCAAAACACCAACATATCTGGTGGAAGTAAGAATAGTAATGAGACAAAGGCAACTAACTGCAAAGGGCTGCACCAAAACTTTTTGTAGAAAAACCTCCAAACTGAAGAAAGATAAGCAACCGAAAAATAGGCCTCTCTGAGTTCCAGCAAAAACAGATATGTAAGCCTACCCTACCTCTTAAATCAACAGTTGATAAGTACAACATCTTATCTGACTGTGATTCTGACAAGCTCTCATCCTCTGATAAGTAATAGACAAAGACAGAGAAGTAGTCAGAAAGGAATCTGAGACTGATGAACTGGATTCCAACCTACTAGAGCAGTGGCCCCCAAACTTTTTTGAGCCAGGGACCGGTTTCACTATTATTTATTCTTCCACGGACCGGTACCTGAGTAACGCGAGACTCCACCGCCATCAGGACGGCTCTTCATTCAAAGCCGCCCCCCCTTGACGAAACTAAGGCGCGAGCACCCAAACGCTGCTTTCCAACTGAAAAACCGGAAGCACTTTCCAACCGAAAACCCGGAAGCAACCGAAAACCCGGAAGCGCCGTCTAAACAAGATGGTGGTACTCGAGCTTTGTGGCCCAGTAAAAAATGATCCACGGACCAGTACCGGTCCGGGGACCGGTGGTTGGGGACCCTGTACCAGAGAACACAAATCTGTCCTTAGTTACAAAATAACCACCTGCTTATGGCCCACAAGGACATATCTATCTATTGATCAGTTGTCAGAGGCCAACAAAAAGCTAGAAGAAATAAAAAGGATTCCCTTTTAGGAGAAGGATTCCCTGAGTTTGTAAAGGAAGGTGGTGAGAATGCCAATACAGGGCAGAAAACACACAAACGCACACACAGTGAAATACAATATTCGATAATAAAGACAATTCAAAGGTGAGAACTGAAGGGCTATTTGAAACATACGTACTACAACTGCAAAAAAAAAAAATCATGTTATACAGGTAATCCTTGACTTATGGCCACAACCGAGCCCAACATTTTTGTTAAATGATACATTTGTTAAGTGAATTTTGCCCCATTTTACAACCCTTCTTGCCTCAATTGTGAAATGAATCTGGCTTCCCCATTCACTGCAGTTATTCAGTTAGTAAACTGGTTGTTAAGTGAATCTGGCTTCCCCCATTGACTGTGCTTGTCAGAAGGTTGCAGAAGGTGATCACACGACCCCGGGATACGGCAACCATCATAAATATGAACCAGTTGCCAAGCATCTGAATTTTGATCACCTCACTATGGAGGTCGCTAAGGTCATAACTGTGAAAAAATTGGCACAAGTCACCTTTTTTTCCCAGTGCTGTTGTGATTTTAATAGTCAGTAAATGAACCCTTGTAAATTGAGGACTACCTGTATATAGAAATGATAGAAATAAATAGCCAAAGAAAAAGCCCATCTTAAAATCTGTCATAGTTACTTAGGCGTAAAAGAACACTGACAGAATTAACGGAGATAACAAGGCTCGCACACACCCAAGGTTTTAAGAGGCTTGTGCTGTTGCTTCAACAACTCATATTACCCCAAATGCTCTTAAGCTGTTTCTACGGAGCTTTGGGATTATGCCAACTGGAGTATTTTAAAATATATGTGCCTGCCACTCCTGACTCCTGGGAAGCTTGCCAAGGTGTAACAGGAAGGTTTCTGATAACATATATTCTGCGGGAAAACAATCCATCAGGCTGAAGGAAAGTGAGAAATTTGACTCAATGCACCCCTTATCATGCCTTCTCAGGTGGAGCTAATGAACTCAATGTAGGACCTTGACGATATCAAATCGAGTTTACCAAACATGATAAGGTTTCGTAAAACATGATAATAAGATACAGAAGAACATTGACAGACTTGAATATTGGGCACTATCTAACAAAATAAAATTCAATGGTGAAAAAAGTAAGGTTCTACATTTAGGCAAGAAAAACAAAATGCATAGGTACAGTATATGTGGTATCTTGCTCAATTGTAGTAACTGTGAGAGGGATCTTGGAGTTCTAGTGGACAATTACTTAAATATGATCCAGCAGTGTGCTGTAGCTGCAAAAAATGCCAACACAGTTCTAGGCTACATAAACAGAGAGATAGAATCAAGACCACATGAAGTGTTAATACCACTTTATAATGCTTTGGTAAGGCCACACTTGGAATACTGTATCCAGTTTTGGTCGCCACGATATAAAAAAGATGTCAAGACTCTAGAAAGAGTGTAGAAAAGAGCAACAAAGAAGATTAGGGGACTGGAGGCTAAAACATATAAAGAACAGTTGCTGGAACTGGGTATGTCTAGTCTGATGAAAAGAAGGACTAGGGGGAACATGATAGTAGCGTTCCAATATCTCAGGGGCTACCACAAAGAAGAAGGAGTCAAGCTATTCTCCAAAGCACCTGAGAGTAGGACAAGAAGCAATGGATGGAAACTAATCAAGGAGAGAAGCAACTTAGAACTAAGGAGAAATTTCCTGACAGTTAGAATAATTAATCAGTGGAACAAATTGCCTCCAGAAGTTGTAAATAATAACCACCAATTCATTAAAAGAGATTCTACCCCTGCATGTAGGGGCCATACCTCTGCACCCAAGTAGCCAAACCTCTATATTTGGATCATCAACAAGCTCTCTAGGAGAGATTGCTCCATTGAGCAAGAAGAGGAGAGGCCTCAATATAAATCAAAAGGAATTAAGATTCCCTACAAAATCCGTAACTACAAATCATGGTTCAAGAGGCAGATCTCCTGAAGAATTTCCCATGCAAATCAGTTTAAATCCAGATGCCTTTGGCAATGAAGAAAGATTCTGCAGGGGCCAGTTAGATCCTTCAACTATCATCTATTATTTAGAGGGCGGACTTGCGTCACAGCGATAAGCATGCGATCTTAGATCGCTGCTGATATCTCCATTGCAGGACGGTCCCAACGGACCTAAACCATCCCATGGAGACGGTGACACAGGAGGGCACATCCTGTCGATCCCAGGGACATTGCAAAGTCCCTGGTAGATCCAGGAGAAGCCCTTTTTCCCCACAGTGGAGAGGTAGCCATTAAAGCTGTTGAAGCTGGGACAGCTCTGGAATGGAAGAAAGCTGGAAAGAAAGTGTGTCAGTTTGGTGAGATAATTTTCTACTTATTTTTTTCTGGAGAGAATACCCTAAAAGACTAAAAATTAAATTTAAAAGTGAAGATAAAAGTGCTCAAGCAGCGAGATTAAGCACAAATTAAACCTGAAGGTTTTTTTTTCTTTTTATTAGAACTTTGGATTTTGTTAAAACTTTTTAACTTTTAAATTGGACTGGTCTTTCCTTTCTAATTTTTATCTTTTCCTTTCAAAATAACTCTTTGGAAAAGCTTTTTATTCTCTTGCTTTTTCTTTTTAATAATTTTAGATTCTTTATATTTTTTATTATTCCTGATTTTAATATTAGAGGGGAAGGGAAAGGAAAGTGAAATAAGTACTGCTGCCACCTGGAGGCTTGGATACATTGTTTTCCTTTCTTTCTTTCTTGTTGACACATGTGGGAAGAGCATATAGATTGTTTGCAGGTGCTCTTCTGTGGAATTACTGATAGCTGGACTCTGGATTTGAAATTGAAGAAAGAAGATTGAAGTGACCTTGAAAAGAGAACTGGAAATTTTGTTTTCTGATTTAGAAAAGAGCCTCGAACATATAGTGCTTTGCTTGTTGACAGAACTGCATTTTCTCTTTTCTTTTTTTCTCTATTCCCTCCCCCCAGTTGGATTTTTATATTTGGACTTATGCAAGAATAAGACTACATTTCCCCCCCCTCCCTCCCTTTGTTTTACCTCTTCGGCAAGGGGAATATACAGATTTCTGTCTTTTTAAATCTTTTCTTAATTTTTTATTTTTTCATCCTGTTTCCATTTTATATTTTTCCCTTTTTTCCTACATAATTGGAACCAATTAGATTAAGGTATTCAGGTGCCTGAAGATTTTTCCCTTCCCTCTTTTATTTTTAATTATTTTATTTTATTTTTACTGGAGTGGCAATTGGCTGCTGTTGCTTTTTCTATTCAATTTTTCTATTGTACTTCAAGATGAGCAGAAAAATACCAGCCTCAGCTTCTTCAATCCCGATTTCTTCTTCCTCACCATCTGGAGGACAACGATCAATACAGGTGATGTTACAACAAGAGAAGGAGAAAGAAGTGACACTGCAGATGGTTATGCAAGGAATTCAAAAGATACAAGTAAAAACAGATAATATTGAAAAGAGAACGGAGAATATCGAGCAAAGAATGGAAAAGATGGATGAAAAAATAGAAAATATTCAACAGATGATGAAGCAATATGAAGACAGAATTAAGAAAATTGAAGAAAAAATGTACAAAGAGATAAGAAGATTGGAGATATGGATACCTGATTGAGTGAAGTGGAAAGAGATAAGGGCAGATCTCTGCAATCATTGGGATGGGAAATTGATAGATCAGAATTCTATCTTAGATTCAAAATATAGAAGAAGAAAAGGGTGAAAACCTTGCTGAAATGATGACAGAAATTCTGGCAGAAGCATTAGAGGTAACTAAAGAGAAGATGATGGATGGAATGGACTAGGTTTTTCGTGTTTATACAAGATATGCATTGAGAAATAAACTGCCAAGAGAAGTTCATATCAGGTTTACTAAGAAAATAATAAAATCACAAATACTGCAGGTGGCAAGAGAAAAAACACTAAAGTACAAAGATAAAGAAA